GGCCCTCTCGGCCGGCCGGGGCTGCTCCGCGGCCGGGAGGTGGCAGTGTCTGTCCCCGCAGCCCGCCCGGCTCCAGCAGCTGCCTCAGCACCGATGAATTATGGATGAGGGGACAGGAAGGCTGGGAAGAGGGAGCTGTAGCACTGCAACTTGCAGTGAACTTTGATCAAAGCGGGACGAGCTGTGGGCTCCAGGGGAAGGAAGGAGGGACGGACCCCAGGGCCCTGCCTGCACCTCCCCTGTGGCCGGCAGCAAGCCTGGCCGCAGTATCCCACCTCCGCGGAGCTGGGAGATCCATGTGCCCACCCGGGGCTGTGTCACAAAGCCCGCATCACTCTGAAAACTCTTGCCAGTGTTGCACAATGCTCTTCAGCTGTGTTCACAGCTGTTTATTGATGGAGGGCTCCTGTGCCAGCCCTAGCTGCATCCTACTGCACATTTAAAAAAGCCTCACCTGCACTGGCTGCTGGTCATAAAACTTACTGCCAGCCCACTAGCTCTTCTGGCTCTTGTTTGCCGTTATCACATTGAAGTCATTTATATTATCCGCTTGAGAAATAAATACCCTGAGACAGAGATTCAGCCTTTGGAGGGGAGCGCAGCGCTGCGAGGCCGGTGTGCAGTGCGCTGCCAGGCAGCGGCGTTTCTTCACGAAAAAAAAATCCCACCCGAGCGAGTCTTTCTCCAGAGACCAGTTCCCGCCGCGTTCGTGCCAAGCGCCCCGGGGACAGTCAAGCAGGGACTCTCTGCAGTAACTCCGGCAGTCGCTGTAGCAGCCCCACGCGCTCCGAGCTCAGGCCCTGCACCACCACCCCTGCCTCTCTGGGAGCCCGAACCACAGGGGCCGGATGGGAACACGGGTTCTCCACATTTAGGCTAAAACCAGCATGACCAAATAATAGCATGACCAAAACAGCATGACCAAATGCTATAGACAACGTGGTCCCGCTTACAGCCTCACTGTAATTGTCTTTCAAACCACAAGCACATCGAGCTTGCCCCCAATCCGACAGCAACCCGCTGTGCAAAGGCACCGTGCGCGCTAGGTGGCAGTGGGCTCTGGAAGCAGTTCTGTTGCTCAGCCACTTTGCGCACAGCTTGGGCCCAGGGGCACTCACGTGTCCCTGCCCAGTCCTTAACCCTAGGGCGGACCGTAGGTCACTGAAAAGGGTATTTTCCTCAGCAAACACCACTAGAGGAGGGCTTAGAGTTAATTTAGCATGGGGGGAGATCTGCAACGAAGCCACGCTCTGTGCGCGCAGCCCTGCGGTGCCCCCGCCGCAGCTGCTGCTGCGCCGGGGGCCCCGCCCCGGACCGCCCCCGGGAC